AAAAAATACAAAAATTAGCCCGGTGTAGTGGGTTGCACCTGTAATCTCAGCTACTTGGGAGGCTGAAGCACGAGAATTGCTTGAACCCCAGAGGCAGATGTTGCAGTGAGCCAAGATTGCACCACTGCACACCAGACTGGGTGACAGCAAGACTCTGTCTCAAAAAAAAGAAAAAAAAAGATACTCTGCACATGCATGAACAGTTCTGTTAATGTCTAAACACCCAGCGGGGATTTGTCTAGCTTTTCACCAGTGTATCCCAGTACCTAGGCCAGAGTCCAGAGAAGGCTTAGAAGAAATATCACAGTAACTGGTGATAGACCCCCTTCTGAGTCCGTTACAAATATTCTGGGATGGACATGGTGGCTCATGCCTATGATCCCAACACCTGGGAAGCCAATGCACGCAGATCGCTTGAGCCCAGGTGTTTAAGACCAGCCTGGGCAACATGGTAAAACCCTGTCTATATTAAAAATAGAAAAATTAGCCAGGGGACCAGGCACAGTGGCTCACGCCTGTAATCCCAGCTACTTGGGAGGCTGAGACAGGAGAATCGCTTGAACCCAGGAGGCGGAGGTTGCAATGAGCCGAGATGGCACCACTGCACTCCAGCCAGCGTGACAGTGAGAGACTCCATCTCAAAAAAAGAGAAAAATTAGCCAGGCTTGGTGGTGTGTGCCTGTAGTCCCAGCTACTTGGGAGGCTGAGGTGGGAGGATCACCTGAGCTCTGGTGCGGAGGTTGCTGTGAGTCAAGATTGCACTACACTGCTCTCCAGCCTGGGACATGGAGCAAGACTGCTAAAAAACCAAAAACAAAAACAACATACATATATACACTTTTAGAGTTACAAACTTAAAATTTTTTATTGTGAATTTTATGTACAGAGTATGTTGTATTGGCTCTCTTTCTGTGTGACAAATTACCCCCAAATGTAGTGACTAACCAACTTAATGTCTGTGGATTGTGAATTCAGGCATGGCTCAACTGAGTCCTCTGCTTCAAGGTCTCCCATGGGCTTCAGTCAAGGTTTCCATAGTTGTCTCAAGACTCAGGTGGGAAAGGATATGCTTCCTAGCTGTCTCATGGCTGTTGGCCCGATTCTTTTCCTTGTGACCCACTGATTGGAGGCCACCCTCAGATCCTTGTCACAAAGGCCCTTTCAACGTGGCAGCTTCCTTTGTGGAAATATGCACACAGGAAGGCAGTAGAGTCAGCAACATGGCAGTCGCAGTCTTATAACCTTGTCAAATAAATAACAACCCATCACTTTTTTTTGAGACAGGGTCTCGCTGTCACTCAGGCTGGAGTGCAGTGGCATGATCGTAGCTCATTGCAGCCTCAACTTCCTGGGCGCAATCGATCCTTTCACCTCAACCTCCTAAGTAGCTACGACTACAGGGCGCACCACCATGCTTGGCTACAAACCACCATTTTTGCTGTATTCTGTTAGAAGCAAGTCAGTAGGTTTAGCCCTCACTTAAGCTGGGGTGGGGGGTTGGGAGGGGTTACACAAGGGCACGTATAGTATAACTAGAGGTGGGGACAAGGGACCATCTTTAAAAGTTGCCTACCACAAGTCTATAAAATCTGTGTAGTCTGAAGACCAGAAATAAAAAGAAGCCCAGCATATCTACTAGTATGCCCTTTGCGAGTCCTCTTCAGTTGCATGCTCTCATTCCTCTTCAGAGGGAACCATGATTCCAGTTTTTGTGTTCATCAATCTCTAGCATCTGTGTCCCTAAAAACATAATTGAGAAGAAGTAAGAAGCAAGCACAAACCTAATTGTGCAAAGAAAGGGTAAAATTGCCACTATTACGAGGCAGGCCCACAGGAGAAGGTAAGTTGAGCAGGCTGGGTGACAGTGGTGTCGGGGTCTTTGAGAGCACAAGAACCATTTCTGGGAAAGTCAGCCAATGCCTTTCTCCATTTCACAAAATCTGTAAAATCTATAATATCTGGTTCATATTCAGATTTCCCCCCTTGTTCTTAGAATGAATTTTTATGTTTATTGCTTTTTAAAATTCTTTTTCAGGCCAGGCATAGGCTCACGCCTGTAATCTCAGCCCTTTGGTAGGCCGAGGTGGGCAGATCACTTGAGGTTAGGAGTTCGAGAGCAGCCTGGCCAACATGGTGAAACCCCATCTCTAGTAAAAATACAAAAATTAGCCAGGCGTGGTGGCGCATGCCTGTAATCCCAGCTACTTGGGAGGCTGAGGCAGGAGAATCGCTTGAACCTGGGAGGTGGATGAACCTGGGAGGTGGAAGCTGCAGGGAGCCGAGATGCGCCACTACACCCCAGCCTGGGTGACAAAGTAAGACTCCGCCTCAAAAAATAAAATTCTATTTCAGGGTCAGTAGGTGCAGCAAACCACCATGGCACACATATACCTATGTAACAAATCTACATGTTCTACACATGTATCCCTTTAGAAGAAATAAAGAAAAAATTCTATTTCAATCCTTGTCCTTCTGGAACAATGTGTTTTTAAAATCATCCTTATTAAGGTATAATTTACATACAATTAGAATGTCTTTTATAACTGTTCCTCCTCTCCCCACCACTCCCAGGATCTAATTTAGTTTCACACATTACATTTGACGGTTACGTGTCTTTGGTTTCTTTTACTCCAGAGCAGTCCTTCCGCCTTAAAAAAAAAATACTGTAATTTCTACTTACTAGCTTTCAAAAATTTATTGAGATTATGATTCATATAACATAAAATTACCTTTTTTTGAGACAAAGTCTGGCTCTGTTGCCCACTCTGGAGTGCAGTGGCCATGATCTCAGCTCACTGCAACCTCCACCTCCTCGGTTCAAGTGATTCTCCTGTCTCAGCCTCCCGAGTAGCTGGGATTATGGGCATTTGCCACCATGCCCGGCTAATTTTTGCATTTTTAGTAGAGACAGGGTTTCACTATGTTGGCCAGGCTGGCCTCGAACTCATGATCTCAGGTGATCCACCCATCTTGGCCTCCCAAAGTGCTGGGATTACAGGTGTGAGCCACTGCACCTGGCCAAAATTACCCTTTTTAAGAATACAATTCACTAATTTTTAGCCAATTTTGGAACATACCATCACCCCAGTACAAGGCCTTGTTCCCACATGTGGTCAATATCTCGCTTCAACTGCAGTCCCCCCACCACCTGGTAACTGCGAAAATGCCTTCTGTCTCTATAGATTTGTTGTTTCTAAACTTTTCTCCTTTTTCTTTTTTTTTTTTTGTTTTGAGACGGTCTTGCTCTGTTACCCATGCTAATGTGCAACGGCACAAACATGGCTCACTACCACCTCAACCTGCTGGGCTCAAGCAATCCTCTTGCCTCAGCCTCTCAAATAGCTGGGACCACAGGTATGTGCCACCATGTCCAGGTACTTTTTACGTTTTTTGTAGAGAAGAGGTCTTGCCATGTTGCCCAGGCTGTTCTTGATCTCTGGGCTCAACCAGTCCTCCTACAGCTGCCTTTCAAAGTGCTGGGATTACAGGTGTGAGCCACCGGGCCTGGCTGGAATCATACAGTGTGGTCTTTTCGACTTCCCCCTTTTTTGTTTGTTTAGAGATGGCGTCTTGCTGTCACTCAACCTGGAGTGCAGTGGTGCAATCATAATTCACTGCAGCCTCAAACTCCTAGACTCAAGTGCAGGACTGGGCTCCTGGACTCTATTTTTTTCTACTCCATGTTTTTCTTGCTTTGTTTGAACTGATGTTTCTGTATGAATACAACTTTAGGAAATATTAATCATAGGAGACTAGCTAACTCACAGCCTCTTAAGTAGGTGGGATTACAGGTGCATGGCAACCCCTTTATTATTTTCCTTAAGTGATACTGACGTTGTTGTTGTTGTTGTTTTGTTGTTGTTGTTGTTCAGACGGAGTGTCGCTCTATAACCAGGCTGGAGTGCCAGTGGTGCAATCTCAGCTCACTGCAACCTCTGTCTCCCCAGTTCAAGTGATTCTCCTGCCTCAGCCTTTC